TGTCCCCAGTGACCTAACTTCCTCTCACTAGGCCCCACCTCCTAAAGGCCCACTATCTTCTGTTGGTACCACAGGCCGTGGACCAAGTCTTCAATACAGGGGCCTTTGGAGTCATTCAAAATCCACACTAGAGTGGGAAGAGAATGTTAATGGATGGAAAATAATACATTTCCTAAAACAAACGTAACTATTATATTTTACAAACACAATTTTAAAAAATCCACACTGTAGGAATCTGTCTTCAGCCTTCTGATGAAATATTCCCTAATTTCTTCACAACCCACACCCTGCATTTCACCTCCACTTCTCTGGTTACCATTCAACCATTACTTTTTTCAGCAGAGAAATTTAACTTCCTTTGTCTTAATATCTTCTATTCTGGTTTATTCTGATTTGTTCTTTCCTCACTGAAGGGTTTATTAATGTTTTCTCAGCAAAAGAATTATCTAACAATTTCTCCAGAGACAGAAGCTAAGAAATTAGTTTTTCTTTATGATGCCTCAAAAGAAAAAAAAATAAAACTCAGAAAATGCTTTTCATTCCTACCAACATAATATTTTTAAAAACTTTAAAATACTGTAAGAATGGATAATAAATTTGAGGATATTGAGGGAGTCATATCATGAATACCTTGAAAGACCTGTTAAATTTGTATTCATTTTTATTTGAAGAAGGCAATTAACAGAATTAGTGGATGAGAGGAATGAAGCAGTACAAGGGAGGCCAGGAGACAGGCAGGAGACAGTTGCAGTAACCCGGGTTAGGAAGGAGCAGTAGGAAAAGGGGAAGTGCCAGGGTGATGGTGGTGGTGGAAGGTTTTAGGAATGATGCCATTTCCTGTTTGAAACAACTAGATGCTTGCTGGTGGAATCTACTGTGACAGAAAATAAATCAGTAGGAATACATTTGGGAAGAAACATGTTTTGTGTGATCAAACAATATGGTGAATGCACAAATTTTTAAAATTTATTATAGTAGAAACATATTGTCACAACTCTCCCTCAAAATACTACCCCTCATTTTGAACACACTTATCCCATCATTCTCGCCACTTTCTGAAGCAGTTCTGGAAGTCTTCTTTTATGAGTGTCTTTAGTTGTGCTGTTTTGGCTGCCCTGATGTCCTGAATTGATTCAAAACACTTACCTTTCATGGTCATTTTGACTTTGAGGAAAAGCCAGAAGTCACACAGAATCAGATCCAGTGAATAAAGTGGATGAAAACAGATTGTAATTTTAATTTTTAAAATATATATTATTTTAATGTTAATTAAAATTGCAAAAATTACATATGCATACTTCACTGTGATTCTTTTATATTATTAAGTTTATCGGTACAAATCAGATATACATAATGATCACATTCATCACATGGAATTTGTATGTGTACATGATATCTCTTGATTATATTTTTCCCATTCCCCTCCTCTTCCTTCTACCCTCTTATTATTAGTTACAAAAGCTTTGTTTCTATTTTATTTTTCTTTTCTCTTTTTTTCTTTTTCCTTCCTTTCTTTTGCTCCCTCCCTTCCCTTGAGCCCCTTCCCATTTGAACATTGTCTTCCTCTTTCACAATATCTATTATACATTTTTGCCCTTATTTACACTTTCAGTTTCTCACACCAGAGAAACAATGTGATACTTACACGTCTGTCCAATTTATTTCACTTAAGAGTATGGTCTCTAGGTGCATCCATTTAGCTATGAATGTCTCAAATTTACACTTCCTTATGGCTGAGTAGTACTCCATTGTATTAAAAAAAAAAAGCCACATCTTCTTTATCCATTCATCAGTTGATGGGCATTTAGGCTATTTCCAAGATTTAGCTATTACAAACTGTGCTGCTATAAATATGAATGTGCATATATCACTGTGATATGATGCTTTCAGTTCTTATGGGAAGATACCCAGAAGGGGAATAGCTGAGTCAAATGGAACCTCTAATCCTACTTTTCTGAAGAATCATCACACTGATTTCCAAAGTGGTTGCACCAGTCTACACTCCCACCAGCAGTGGAGAAGGGTACCTTTTTCTCCACAGCCCCGCCAGCATTTGTTATTGGTTGATTTCTTGATAATAGCCATTCTTTCTGGAATGAGATGGAATCTCAGTGTTGTTTTCATTTGCATCTCTCAAATGACCAGTGAAGTTGAACATTTTTTATATATTTATTTGCTGTTTCTACTTCTTCATCTGAAAAATGTGTATTCATCTCAGAGGCCCATTTTTGGAATGAGTCTTTAAATTTGGGAAAGTCTTTTTTTCAGTTCTTTATATATTGTAGATATCAGTCTTTTGCCTGAGGAACAGCTGGAAAAAATTATCCCACTCTATTGGTTGTCTCTTTACTCTGTCAGTGATTTCTTTTGCTGTACAAAGGCTTTTTAATAAGATGAGATAGATTCCAGTTGTTGATTCTTTGTAATATTTCCTGTGTGATTGGTGTTTTGTTCATAAAGTCTTTTCCTACACCTATGTCTTCAAGAGTTTCACCTATCCTCTCTTCCAGTAGATTTAGTGTTTCAGTTTTAATATTTAGATCTTTGATTTTAGTTTAGTGCATGGTGAGAGACATGGGTCTAGTTTTAGTCCTCAGCATGTAGAAACCCAGTTTTTCCAGCACCATTTATTAAAGAGGCTGTCTTTCTTACAGTGAAGGTGTTTGGTCACTTTGTCAAAGATAAGATGGCTGAGTGTGTTTGGGGTTGTTTCTGCATCTTCTATTCCACTCAACTGATCCTTGGATATGTTTTTTTACCAGTACCATGCTGTTTTTATCACAATAACTGTAGTATAATTTCAGATCAGAGATTGTGATGCCCTCTGCCTTGCTTGTGTTGCCCAGAATTGTTTTTGCTATTCTAGGTCTCTTCTGGTTCCAGATGAATTTTAGGAACATTGTATCTTGTTCTATGAGGAGTCATCCCCAGAGATACAGGGATGGTTCAATGCACACAAATCAATAAATGTAATACACCATATTAACAGAGCCAAGGACAAAAATCACATGACCATCTTAATAGATTCAGAAAAAGCATTTGACAAAGACTAACACCCATTCATGATAAAAAAAAAAACCCTACAGAAAAATGGAATAAATGGCCTTTATCTCAATCTGATAAAATCCATCTATGACAAACCAACACCCAACATCATACTAAATAGACAAAAACTGAAAGCTCTCACTCTAAAATCAGTAACAAGACAAGGATGTCCACTATCACCACTCCTATTCAATATTGTTCTGGAAATAGCCAGAGCAATGAGACAAGAGAAAGAAATAAAAGGAATAAAGATAGGAAACAAAGAAGTTAAATTATCATTATTTGCAGATGACATGATACTCTACAAAAAGACCTCAAAAATTCTACCAAAAGACTTCTAGATTTAATAACCAAATTCAGTGGAGTAGCTGAATACAAAGTTAACACTCAAAAATCAATTGCATTCTTGTACACAAATAGCAAACACTGAGAGAGAAATTAGGAAAATCACACCTTTTACAATAGCATCAAAAAAATGAAATATTAGGAATCAATGTATAAAGGAAGTAAAAGATCTTTACATTGAAAACTACAGTGCTCTGAAAAAGGAGATCAAAGAGGATATCAGAAAATGGAAAGATATCCTTTGCTCGTGGGTAGGAAGGACCAACATAGTAAAAATGGCCATACTCCCAAAATTGTTATACAGATTTAATGCAATCCTAGACCACAATGTTTTTATTTGACAGAAATTGCTATGAACATTTAATCAATGAGATGTGATTGAAAAACACAGTAAATTTTTAAATTAAAAATTTTATTACAGTGAAAGACACATTTCCATTAATCTCTCTCAAAATACTCTTCCTCGCTTTGAACACACATACCATTATTCTTGGCAATATGACTTTTAATGTAATAAGTTTTCTTTATTTACACATTCGCCATATTTTTTAAACACTTCTATTTCATTGAGGATCTGTGGTATGTCCCACATGATTTGGGAACAGATTTATAATCAAGTTTTCAGACAGACTGGATGTAGGATCTGTACCCTGAGGGAAGACCAAACTGTCTCTTGAAACTCTGATATTATGAGGGAAATCTCTGAGTAAAAGGCTCAGTTGCGCCCTTGATCTTAATTAATGTGTGTGACTTCATTGCTCCGTGCACATCATTGGTTTAAAGTGTAGAAGTGATATCTAAAATGTTTAAGACCTTAGTCAAACCTTCACCCTGGAAAAAAAATACTGACCTTCCTCTTTACAAACATATGTAACCAAGCAGAGGGATTGCTGCCAATTTAATCACTCTGTAAAGTATTGCCTGGATGCCCAGAATTTAGTCTTAACAATGTTAGAAGAAGCTTTCTTATTAGAAGTGAACAGTCACCACATATATATGATGGATGGGCGATATTTACCAATGTGGGTTATTGGTCACCACCTTCTGTCCATTTTCATGTGGATAAAGGTTTCACGTTTCTGCTTTCTTACTCATTTTTGTTGGCATTGCTCTTTTGCTGTCAGCAAAAGAGAAGAAAAAAGTGCAATCAATATGACCCCATTTAAATCCCTGACAGAAGCTCTCATTGTGGCAGCCACAGGCTCAGGTACTCAGGCATCTGGCTGCAGCTGTAAACCAGGGAAGCTCTCTCTGATGGGGAAAAGAGCACCAGAATTGGAGGCAGGATGCCTGCTTTCAAGTCTCAGGTTCTAATTCACTAATGGTCTCTTTGGCAAGCACCTATGTCCTGTGAGTCTTACTGGTCTTATCTGAAAAATGGACAAAATACTGCAGTCCCTGCTGCACCACAAGATTGTTTGGGAATTGTGACCATAAAGGCCAAGTAAAGGGCTGTAGAAACCATGGGGATATTATATCCCACATGCCACAAACCCAGACTGCCAGGCTTTTCTTCCAGACCATATGTCTTTCATCTACTCTTCCTCATGAATTTCAAACTACCAGCAGCTGCTGGGGCAACATTCTTAATTTTTCTTTTCTCTTTGCAGTGCATAGTGTGGGACTGGGACTCCAATGGCAAGCACGACTTCATTGGAGAATTTACCTCGACATTCAAGGAGATGAGGGGAGCAATGGAAGGGAAGCAGGTACACACACCATCTGTGTCATAACCCCAATCCTTAGCACTCAGCTACAAATGACAAAGACAAAACATCCATGTATGGTTCAGTCTGATGAAAAGGCAGTACAGTGAAATTTGATTCTAGTGTAAGCCCAACCTACAGTGTTGTGGGGCCTTGATGGAGACACTACCCCCAAATGATGCAGTTCTCCGTCAATAAAATGGATGAGAAAATTTCTAATTCCCTTTAGTTGGGTAGTCTTGGAAAAGTAACTTAATTTATCTGTGTCTTATTCTTCTTGCCTAAAATGTAAAGGTGAGAATTGTACCTATCTCACAGGATTTTTTTGAAGGTTAAATGACCACCTAGCTAGCACTTCCATAATACTGGTTGTTTGCAGTAGTATCCTTTCTAGTTCTATATTTATGTGATTTGGTAACATATATAATACATTTAATGCTTTGGAGAAATTATTTGAATCCACCAAATTTTTATTATGGGCACCAGGTTTTCCTATACTTCTGTAATTTCACTCTTCCACATTTGATACCAAGACAGGTACCCAAACACTACCAGGTACCACAAAGACATATTGCACTAACCCGAGACCTGAACCCTTTCTGTGTTTCTCTCAGATACACACACCTTGGGTATCAGTCAGCTACTGTCATCTGGGCCCTGACCTTGCAGGCTCTTCTACCATTGCAGTGTTTGCCTCCCATCTTCCAGTTCCAGTACCTGAATCTCTCCTGAGAGCTTTCTTTGGCTGCTGGAGCCTCTCTTGCCACTCTCCAAAGCAGCCAGGAAGTGTGGAAGGAGGTCTAACACTCTCCAGGAGGTAGCCCTCAACAAAAACTAATGAGTATTGGGATAGAAATACTCTAGCTCCCTTTCCCTTAGAGTGGGAGAATTCTGAGGTTTGTGCTCTATGTAGCTTCCCTTAGTTCCCTAGGAGGAATGACTTTCATTGTCTATAATAGTAACTGACTTAATAATATTTCCTTCCTTGGCTGTCTTCTCTAATTCTCCATTCCTGCATTGGTGCTTGCTGGTATTACCTTCCAGATGACCTGCTTTTCCTTATATCCTGCCTAAGAATTTATCTCTAGGGGAACTCAACCTAAGATACTTGTGATTCTTATTTTGGAATCCACTGTCCCAGTGGAGCAGAAAGGAGGAACAGCTCAGGGACTGTTAGAAAGGTCTCTTCTCTTGAAGAAATCATAATTAGAGGGGCAAGGGGAGAGGAAGGGGAGGGAGGAAGGGAGTGGCCTTTTTAAAAGTATTGCTGGAGATTTTCTGATTTCAGATTCCATTTTGACTCTTTTCTTTCCTTCATCAAAGAATCCCAGATTTTGAAGGAGTCATAGAGTCTGCTTAGCTAGTACTGGATCTCTCTCTTCCATAACATTAAGTAGTTGCTCAGTCCGTGATGGAATCTTCTCCTTGAGGAGAATCCACTGTGTAATCTACTGCTGAGTAATCAATTACCCAAAACTTCATGTCTAGAAAGAACAGGTATTATTTCCAGTTTCTAGGTTGACAGTTTGGTTGAGACACATCCTTTCTGTTCCACATTCTGCCCACTTGGCTCTCAAGCATATGTACCTCAGCAGGGGAGATGGCCAAGACCTTCCCCTCCAAGTGTCAATTGGATATCTGCAGAACTCTTCCTCCCTCTGCCACTTCATTTGTCACTATGAATAGTAGTAAGCATTTGTATGTGCCAGGCACTAAATTAATTAACAGGCTAATCATTTAATTTCCATGATAATCCTGAGATAGATATTAAAAGCCCCATTAACTGAGGCTCAGAAGAGTCAAGTAATTTGCCCAAGGTCACACAGCTAGGGAATGAAGGCATTAGAAGTTAAACCAAGCAATCTGATATCCGAATCTCATTCTCAATTTCTTACCATTCCCCTAGATGCAGGGGTTACCACCTAGAGACCACTTGTCAGCCCTTCAGTGCAGTGTATCTACAGCAGCACCCAGGGGCTTGGCCTCGTGGACTTCTCCAGAGCAGGCTCTCACGCTGTGGCTCCTCTTATTGCAGGTGCAGTGGGAGTGCATCAACCCCAAGTACAAAGCCAAGAAGAAGAATTACAAAAACTCAGGCATTGTGATTCTGAATCAGTGCAAGGTACGTGCCCAACCCTCCTATGAACCGAGGATGACCTCAGAGGAAGCATTCTCATTATAGGAAAGGGATCAAGGGAAGAGAGAAAAAGGAAGTGGGGGGGATCAAAAATAATCAAGATATATTGATATATGGACAAATTCCTCAAAAAAAATTAAATATTATGCATCACAGACTAGTAAAAAGAGTTCAGGCTGAGTGGTCACAAGGAGAGAATGTCACAAAGAAGTGATTTCTTAAAAATAGAAATCAGAAATTCAATATATTAATGGTCGTTAAAGAGAAATGTAACCATAAGTGATCTTGGAGCTGTGAGAGCCTAATACCATTATGCTGTCTCCAAGGACAGTCGTGCCACCAAAGACAAGAGGGTCCCGGTCACAAATCGGGCTTTCCTCTCCTGAGGGTAGTGCCAGAGGAAGACCTCAAATGGGCAGGAAACATTTCTAGACATCTACCGTGTGCTTCCCACCGTGTTCATTGCTCTGTACGTGGTGCCTCACTCATGCTGAAGGGGTAACCTGAAAACAAGACAGTGGAAGAGCATTGAAGAATCCAGTAATTCCTCTCAAGGGGCTCAAATTTGTAGAGAATCCTACATGTTAATAAATGAACTTTTAAAATCACATCCAGGAGTAATTCTGCTGCTAACTGAGTACCTACTATATAAGACTAATTATAATAAATTCTGTTTAACTTTTATCACAACCCTGAGATTTCCTACCTTCAGCTAAGGCAATACAAGCAGTTCAGAGTTACACAGGTGGTAGGATTAAGAACCGAATTACTGAGCTATTAGCTCATGTCTGTCTGACTCTACCACACAGGGCTTAAATGCCATCACATTACATACACACACACAAACACACACAGAAATACACACACAGATGCACCTCAATTTATCATAGGATTACATCCCAATAAACTCATAGTAAGACAAAACTGCATTCAATACACATAAATTACCAAATATAGCTTAACAATATAGTGTACTAAGTATTGGCCATGTGACTAACTGGAAATTGTAACTCTCTGCTGCTACACACCACTGAGAAAGTGTTACACTGGATATCCCTAGTCTGAGGAAATATCAGAATTCAAATTTCAGTCTTTACTGAACGCATATCAGCTTCTGACCATCATAAGGTAAAAAGTCATAAATCAAACCATCATAAATTGGAGAATGACTGTGTGTGTGCATCTCAAGGTCCTCCCAGACTAGTCTCTCCATTACATCCAAAAGCTGCTGTATCACACTTTAGATTACAAAATAGTAAAGAATAAGACTGACTGGTCTGGCTTGGGTCACATGTCTACCCACGAACCACTCACTGGGACTAAGGGATAATGTGTTATCATTGGCCATTTGGGTCATTATATTAGTCCTGATGTTTTTCTTTTTCCTGTATTTTTTTGATGCTCTGACATCCCTGAGCCTGTGGGCTCAAGGAGGGACTACTTCTCCCATGGTTACCTAATTCCTGGAGAGTAAACAACTTTCTTCCTAGCATGCCTTTGATATGCAGAACAACCAACCTCAAGTCCATAATTTCACCCACCCTCTTTACTAATGCTGACCTACCACACCAGTTACTGCCCTGCTTTATATCACCTTGGGGGCCAAGTATCAAACAACTAGAGACCACTCCTGTAGCTCAAAGCTGGCTGAAATAATTCAAAAGCATCTAGTCCTAAAACTTCTTAGCTCCTTACCTGGGCTCACCCATTCCTTTCTGTGAAAACCTTGTAATAGAAAGCCTTTTATACAAACTTTCCCCTCTCTCCTGCTTCCTGTTTGACCTTGGTGTTTCCCATGTGGCCCTCCTCTGTAGCATGACAGTCTCCTATTATTTGAGAAGCTGTGAATAACAAACTCTTCTTACAAAGGCTTTGTCTTGTGTCATTCATCTTATCATTCCTGTACAAATCCAGTCCTGGGCGTGTTCAAAACATCCATGTGCCCAGAGAAGCAGAAGAAAAGATCTAAATGAGCCAATTCAATGGTTATCTGTCTCCTTAATGTGACTATACAGATATCTGTTTGATCTTCCACAAGTTAATCTTACAACTCAGTGCTCAGGAACAATTGTGATTCACTCACATCCAAATTCTTTTTTCCTGCTTTCAGACAAGCATTGTCCTAAGGAAGCCAAGAGCAGGCACTATTCAGAGGGATAATTGAACCTCAACCCTCAGAAAGTCTGCCTATGATTGTGCCACTGTCTCTAAGAAACATCCCTAAGCGTCAGATAGAATCTGAGCAGTAATGGAAGAAGTTACTGTCTGTCCAGATAAAAGGATCCAAACTGTAAGGTCTATGACTGCAGCTACCATGTCTGTTTCTGTCACCACTATTTCCCTAACATCTAGTACATAGTGGGTGCTCAATGAATGCTTGATGAATAAATGAATATCACCAAGAGCTAAGTAGCAGAATCATAAAGAACCAGAAATTAAGATCAGAAACCAGTAAGGTACATGAGAAAGCAGATGGTGGTCACTGGCAGAAAGCGACAGCTATCCTAACTTCCAGTGTAGAAGTAAAAGGATGAACTATCCAGTCCAGACTTCCATAATATGAATCCCAACTCCATCACTTACTATGTGATCTTATCTTTCGTTTTCTCCTCCATAAAATTGGTAATTACACCCAATAATAATACCATCTTCATAGGATTGTTCTTAGAATTAAATAAGATACAGGATATTAAGTACCCAGAATACAGTAAGTGCTCAGTAAATACTAGTCATTGTTCATGGCAGCGGAGGAGTTTAACTGACTGGAAATTGTCAGTCAAAAGTTTCTCACACAGTTGTATTTTACGGCCATAATCTACATATTAAAAATGTTACCAGGACTGAAATCTAGACATAGACAAGAAAGGCTAAATAAAGTTAAGAATGAGAGAGCCCGCTGCAGACAGGTAGGTCTGTGCATGCCCTAACTTGGTCCTGAGTCGCATGGAAGATGCCGAATCACCCCACTGCAGATAGGCAGGTCTGCCCACGGCCTATCTAGATCCGGAGTCGCACAGAACATGCCGAATCAGCCCCCTCCACAAAGGCAGGTCTGTGCATGCCCTACCGAGGTCCTGAGTCACGCAGAAGACGCCGAATCACCCCGCTGCAGACAGGCAGGTCTGCCCACACACTACCGAAGTCCCCAGTCGCTCAGAACTCACACCGAATCAGCACGCTGCAGACAGGCAGGTCTGTGCACGCCCTACCGAGGTCCTGAGTTCTGAGGAAGACGCTGAATCACCCCACTGCAGACAGGCAGGTCTGCCCATGGCCTACCTAGGTCCTGAGCCTCACAGAACATGCCGAATCAGCACACTGCAGACAGGCAGGTCTGTGCATGCCCTACCGAGGTCCTGAGTTGCGCCGAAGACGCCCAATCACCCTGCTGCAGACAGTCAGCCACCTGATTCCACACTACAAAGACTCAGAGGACACCAGACCACCAGACCAAGGTACTGAGTCCCACTGTTCCCGGCCCAGAGGTAGGGGCTTCTGA